GATGCCGTTTGCCCTGAAAACTTCTTATTTTCACTTGTTATAAGAGACCTCGAGAAACAATATGCTGATCAATATTCACCTTCTGTGAACTTGAGTCTTGGCCCACAAGTTAGAATGAGACGATTTACTGCATTCAAAGTGAGCAGATACAGCAATGGTAGATGTCATTTATAGAACAATCAGCTGTAAGCGAGGGTGTACAACATTCTATTGTTTAGTAAACATATATGTTTTGCAGATAGATATAATAACAATATGAACCATTCTTTTTGATATGCTGTAACTTCTTCATGATTTGGATGGAGTAACAGGACAGAAATAGAGTGAAGGTTGGAAATCTAATTCAAATGCTATGAAAGCTTTTTTTTCCTAATGACATACTTTGTATGTTCAAATGTTGGCCAGAAACCATCAATTTCTATTTAGGGTTTTATTAAGAAATAACTCAAAATCAGCGAGAGGGTGCCAGGAACGTGCAGAACCTCCTGAATGGACCCTTTGGTGGACTAACCAGTTCCTGTGGGACCGAAAGGGACTGTGGACACTATCTGTACCCTCTCTCCCACCCCCTCTCCCCCCCCCCAACCCTTCCCCACTTTCTGGCAGGCGAAGACAGGGGGCGTCCATGCCTTGCACCTGGGATGCCCAAATGCCAGCTCCGAGGCTTTGGAACCAGAAACCTGTTTTTCAACCAAAGTCCCGCTGTGACCAAAACTAAAGCAGAGCCCGTCTTCCTCAAGCTCACCTCCCGAGGCAGTAACACCCCCCGTGTTCACGGCAGAAGGCAGAGGGCAGAGGGAAGGCACGGCTCTGTTGGATGCCACCAGCCGGAAATGATCTTCTGTGTGCCAGCGCTAAGGACGCCGACATGACAGAAGAGCCGGTAGTATGTACAAAGTAGGACTAGCACAGCCAATATCACAGGGCAGTACCTATGGAATAAAGTGAAGCTCGATTAATGCTCGGAATTCTGCAATATAGCAATGGGGTAGAGGTGTGAATTACATATTTCATGTGAGCATGCAGACCCGGTGATCCCCAAAATGAGCTTGCATAAGTAGTCACCGAAGAGGATGCAGGTCATGGATAGCTGTCAATCAACTTTCACTATGAAAAATATCTCCTGACCTCTGCTTCCCTGCTGCAGGAACGGTAGAATAATGGCACACTCTGTGCTCTCTTCGGAATTCCAAATGGGATTTAGGAACACGGTAGTTCAATCAGTGGGAAAAGGTCAAGCGCATGCAGATCCTTTCTCCTTCTCAATCCCCCCCCCCAGTTCCACTTTGTGCCCTCCACCCCCAGGGCACCGAGGCAATCAGGGGAAGTATTGTTATTTCTGCTGCTGCCCGTGACCACATTTAAATTTTCAACCGAAAATGAGATTTTATTTTTCCTACTACTGTTGGAAAATCATGCTGCAATTTCATACGGCACTACCTCAGACAACAGGGGAAGAGAGGTGGCTGGAGGTCATTACCGGAGCACGTCCCCTCTCACTAGTAGGGTGGCTTTAGGAAGAGAAGCCGCTAAAAGCAAAGCAAACTAATGGCTCCGGCGGCTCCGGCTACAGAGACACAGGGCTATTAGGAAAACTACCATCTCCCAGGTGGACTCCCACCCACTATGTCCGGGAGCTGTGTGTGACATGTCCAAGTCGGCTCTGCCGACCAAGCGGAAAGAGGACTGAACGTGGGGCTGACATCGCATGAACCTGGGATATCAGGCCTTCTGGGAACCTCTTATCTGCACCTAGCTGATAGGCACTGCAGGCCTCCCGGCTGCTGTTGCGGTGGTTTACGACCGCATGTGTGCCCGTGTGTGTCTCCGTTACACGGTGACAAATTCCGGACTTGATTCGAGACATAACTGGTTTTGTGTCGTTTCATTTCCCGGCAGTTGCTTTCATCACAACATGAACAAGTTGTTGTATCGATTAGAGTTACACAAGTCATTGAAGAAGTAGGTTGAAGCCCTGTGTGTGTGTGAGTGTGCGTGTGTGTGTGTGTTTAGCGGTATTATATTAGGGTGCAGGAGACACAAAGGATAAACACAAGTTTAGCCCAAAGTCTGATTGAATCACAGCAAAAAGGGGAGGGGCAGCAAGCTGTGTGAGTAACGAAGGCCGGAGCTACAGCGACCCCCATAAAGAGCACAGGCTCATAAAATGGCCGACCGCGCTGTAATGTGAAAACACTTTACTTTGAAAAATAACCAGACATAAATATACCCACTGAATAGTCAATTGAGGGATTCTGGCCCGGTTCTTCTTCAGCTGACACGTGGCAGAGTAATTGCCGGAGTTGGCCAGACTTGCAGGCAGGGTGGGGCGGGGGCCAGCTGGGCCTCCTGTCCTGTCATCCCCATGTTACTCATCACTGGACCGGCGCACCTCCCTCTGCCCTTCTGGGGCAGGGCTCCAGCAAGGCTTCAGACGCACAGCGGAGGACGCCGATCAAGGAGAGGGACGGGTGGCGAGGTGGGGGGGGGGGGGGGGGGGGGCAGTGGCATTTGTTCACCCCTCTTCCCTCGCGGGGGCCTTTGCTCTCTCTCTCTCATCTTTTGGAAGGGGGCCCTCTCTCTGGGGGACGATGAAAGGGCCCCGCTCCCCTGACGTTCTTCCTTTCATGTCTCCCTCTTAGGGAGTGGTAGAAAGACATGGAAGGGGGGGGGGGGGGGGGGGCGTAAAAAGGGGCCCCCTCCAAAAGTGCCCCCAAAGGGGGGGATTTAATTAAAAATGACGGGGGCTGGCGCTGGAGAGTGCAGCCACATATGCGTGGAATTTGGGCGAGTGAAAGCAAGTGGCAATGATTTATAATTTAAGTAATGATCTGCACTCCTTTTAATTCTAAGGCCAAAGAAAAAAGTATCAAAAGGCTGCTTCTGTGAGGCTAATCCAATATGATATTTCTAAGGGCAGGCGGTCAATGCCTTTTAAAGGCTCTTTCTGCTTCTCCCCCCCCCTCCCTTGTCCGCCTTTCCCAATCTCCCTCTGCCACTCCCTCCTTTCTCTCCCCACTCTACAGTACCCCCCCCCAGCGACAGAGCGGGCTGTGATAATGGAAACATCCAGCTCTCCGCCTCCCGTTTCTCCCGCTAAGCGCTGTACGCTTGGGGGAAATTGATTGTCTGGCGAGCCAATCTGAACGCTTCCAGCTGATGGCAGAGCCAGTTAAGTCCTTTTTTATTGAGGGTATGAGGGATTTTTTAATGGGAGTCGCATCAATGATCTGTGCAGCCGCTCAGGCATCTGCATGCAGGGGCTTTCTCTAAAAACTTTCCTTGCCCTCTCATCCCAACTGTCTGCCGCCCCTCACGCCGCATGCACACGCACGCACTACCCGTGTGTGAAGATGCAAATGGAACAGCTCACCTCTGCCAGGTAATCCCCCTTCCTGTATTCTCACTCACTCTATTTGAGGGGTGCACTCTGGTGTTCCCCAGGTCGCTCCACATTGGCACAAAGTGGGCCACGGACGATTAATCACGGGGACCTGCTCGCCGCGGTGACCTGAGTGTGCGCCCACTTCTGCAGCCGGACCCGCCGGCGGGCCTTTGTGCAACCCTTGTGGGCCTAGATGAACAATTGCCTTATTGAGGCCAAGAAGTGCACGGTGGTGGAAATACGACACTTGCTCCCCTCTTGCCCCTCTAAGGAGAGAAAAGGAGGCTATTATGTTCAAACATCCTCATTATGAACCTCAAGTCAGTCTGTGTGTTAGTCATTCAATCAAAAGGGTTTAACAGGTGGAGAAAGAGCGGGAGACAGATCGAGAGGGTCAGTAGGGAGGAGTGCAACGGGAAGGATGGAAACTGTTCTCTTTCTTCTATTGATTTGAGTCCCGACTCCCACTGGCTGCTTCTCAATAGAAGACCCTGAGAGGAAGTGGGCTAATCCTGTGAAATTGGAAGGAGGGAATCGATTAAGACGACTGTTGAGCACTCCCTCCATTTCCCTCCCTCCCTCTCCTCGGCTTCACCTCCTTTAATTCCATTTTGCACAGTTTCCCTTTGTCCACTTTTTCACTATACCTCTCTGAAACCTCATTAGTGAGGCCGGTTGACCCCGACTCAGCTAAAGAGCTGCCCCTATAGCAAATGCACTTGGAGCTCAGTTTGTGTCTCTCGCTGCATCTCGGTTTCACCAACTCCTATACAGCTCCATATGAGACATCCACACAGACAACAACAAGATCTGACCTCTGCACTACCCGGTCACCTGGTTGTTTGTGACACTCCTCTGTTGCAGGCAAGTGGAGTGTGATGTTGAGCTGATATGTAGCAAATTGGCCTGTGAGAAGCAGAGAAAGTAGAATACAGTGGTAAAAACTGGTCGGTCAGCGCTCCACCCGTCCTCCACCCGTCCGTTTAATCGGCTCGCGGTAGCTCGAAGGCCGCGGTGAACAAAGGTCACTGAGGACGAGGCCGTATTCAATAAAAAAGGAGAAAAGACATTTCTCACCTTCATTAGAAAAAAGGTCTCTAATCCCGGACGGTTTTCATCCCTGGCTCATCTCCGTCCCTTTACACCATTTCGGGAGTGGACAGAGGGTGGTGCTCGGGGAGCACACAGGGCAGCTGTCATGCTTTACAGCCGGGGTCAGACACTGTAAATGTTTACAGACCCTCAGGGTCACCCGGGGCCACATGAGGCGCGTTACAGGCACGGTCTGCTCAGCCCCGTTGCCACGACTGCACAATCAGCACAGCTAAACAGCCCCCCTCACAATGAGCAGCCAAACAACATGGCAATCCAAGGTCTAAGTGCAGCGCGGATAAACTGTTTAGAATTCCTAAGAGTAGCGAGCGAACACAGCGACAAACAGAAAGGCTATTTTCTTTCACTTACTCCGTTTTCGGTTAAATACCCATAAATATCCATCATTCAACATGACCGATTAAATACAAATGCCCAACACACACAAGCCTCACTCATTTCTCAGCTTTGGGCCGAGCTGAACTCTTGACCTGCACGGCTCCCGGTCACTTTGTTAACTCACATTTCCGTCCAAGGGCTTGCAGAGGCTCCAGAGTCTTGCTGGCACACAGCGGGTGCTGGGGTGGAGGGTTTTGCCTCCTCTGCAGACAGGCCAGCATGGCGAGGTGGGCACAGTACTACAGCCGGGGGAGTTATGCGGCCAACCTGGAGCAAGAGAGAGAGAGAGGAACGTTGAGTTAGTTGCAGCAGGATGATTGGAGGTCAGAACTCCATGGCCGTGTTCGCTAAGCCAGCAGCAGCTGGCTCTGGGCTTGTTGGGCCGTGGGGTTCTCACCCAAGACTTAATGGGGAAAGAATGCCCACAGCTGCCTGCCTCTCAGCCGAGTGTGCTGAATGATAAACGCACACCTGCACTCGGGGCCGCGTGCTTTCAGGCCAGTCGCTCTGCAGCTTCAAACAGCGCATCCAGGCGGCCATTCAACCGCGTCTCCCGTCTACCAAACCGTCCTCAAAACAAAACACGTGGGCACACTCAGAAAGTAGAAACGCACGGGCACGTACGTGGTGATGGATGGTGTTATCTCTGGACAGCAAAAAAAATGGTAAACAGCGGTCTGTCTGCTGCAACTTAACATGCAGCAGCTCTCGGGGAGCGTCAGGAAAGGCCTAGGGGACTGAACGGTGTCTGGATGTATGCGCAGCTGTGTGGTGAACTGTATAGCTGTACGTGTGTGTCTGTGTGTGTTTGTGTATGAAATGCAATGGGTTGGGAGGGAGAAACTGCCAACCGTACATCAGGGCTGGTGACGGCACTAATCAATCTCCCTCTAGGCCATAAATCTCCAGCTCCATGCTCCCCCTTCTCCCCACAGCCACCTTCACTCCGGAACAGGGAAGCAGTTGCTGCTGGTTTCCTTTCAAGAAGCCCATCGTGTGTGTGTGTGTATATAATATATATATATATATATATATATATATATATATATATATATATATATATATATATATATAGATAGATAGATATAAAAACCTACTGCTCACTCTCACTAAGAACCCTCAACAATCGAGTAACATAGCAGACCTCATTCATCAGCAACATGCGAGTGTCACGTAACACAATGATGACTGATTGCACGGTCTTCTACTCGGATTATGTGCCGGATGAGAACAGCTAAAGCAAACGTTTTTAGGTCCACATTGTGTTTTCACTTGATAAGGATCGAGATTCACTGCGCTGCTGTTCACTGAAGGGATATCGTTCGGTTCCAGGGAACAATGTGCCCTTACTGTACTGAGTAAATATCTGCAGAAGTCCAGTCCCGCCTGAATAGCATGGCTGACTCCGTAGAAAGCGATGTGGGCGTAATCTTAGCTCTGCATGTGTTGGAGCCTCACGTCCGAAATACATCGATGAGAAACGGTATCGTTTCAGTCTGGGCCGGTTGCCTCTTATATTAAAGAACAGAGGCATTTATTTTATCCGTGCTGTCAGTGCCAGCGTCTGCTGCCGTGATGCGTGGCGGATTATTGAAAAATGATTTCTCATGCGCCTGTCACAGGCTTGTCCCCTGTTATTTATTTTCTTATTGAATCACTAAATGAACATTTAGCCACCTGCCATCGGTCCATTACTTAGTTTTATAGATTGTCATTTAAAGAAAGCAATTATAATGATTAGAAGATAAATTAATGGTAGTTCATAAAACGCCAGCTCCTGTTTTTTCTCATTTCAGGAACAAAGCAAATTATAGATCACCACTTAAAAAAAAACTCCCAATTTTTAAGAGACCAATGGAAGCATTCAATCCAACTAACCTTTAGACAAAACAACAAGAGAACATTTGTATCTGAATGGAGTTTTATAGAATATGCTTGAAATAATTAGAGAATTCACATCCATTCAAGATGGTTGCTAATTAAAAAGAAGAAATTCACAAATTTAAACAATGCTAAAGCATTTCACCTTTGAAAAGAAAAAAAAGTCTTCCACTGACATGTGTGATAATACAATAATGTGAATAGCATCTTTTAAAATATGATTTGAATCCGAACGGACTGGATTTGCATGAAAAGGTGCATTTGTGTAAACCTTAACAGCCCTCCTTATACAGCTGTGCTGAAGTGGGGATTGAGAAACTCACGAAGGAGGCAAGATAGGCGACCGCAACGCAATCTACTCCCTATAATTAAGGTTGAATGCTTCTCCAGGTCTGAATAGTTGAACGATTAGAAGCAGGTGTTACAGAGACAAGCAAGAATTCAATCTCTCACTTTAAAAAAAATATTTTTTGAATCAAACATTCATTAGACATTTCATATGACCTCACACCACAAGGCGGAAAAATATGTACAAAATATGAAAAAGATGTCCACTAAAAACATGTTCTTCCTGATAAATGTAAGTAAATGTAATCTTTATACTCTAGGATAATTACACAGTTCCCACTCTCTCTCTCTCACACACACACACACACGCACACACACACGCTGCAAATGGAAGAGAGCGGCCACTCTATTTCTTGCCAGGTGCTTGAGCAAAAAAGGTCGCTTGCGGTGCCATTTCCTCTCTCACACAGGCAGGCCTGGTCCAAACACACAGGCACTTTGAGCTCATTACTGGCTATTCACATAATCCTTTCTCTGTGTCCTCTCTGTGAGGATACTAATTTCACAACGAGCCCATCCTCACAGCCCATTGGTTAAAAGATAGTGGTGGAGAGAGGAAAGGGACACATGGTGCGGATCGAGACTAAAAGCTAGTCTTTAATGGGGGATACCTCCACAGTTTTCCCCGCTCTGAAATGAAATACAATCGTGTAACTACCCTCCATTTTTCTCCATTTTCTGCTCACCAAATGTATTCTGAGGCATTATACTTCGCTGAAAGAGATCCACTTTTTTCAATTCAATTTCAAGAACCAATTTTCTCCTATTATTGACTTTAAGAGCGAGGCAGAAGGAGCAAGTCTTTGGCTTGTTTGTCATGTTCTCCTTTCTCCTAATCTCCTCCTATTAGGTTATTGTCCTACTTAGCAGATGTCTATCAGGAGGCACAAAATTATCTTCAAACCAAAACCCCTTTGACCCATTATTCAGCTGCCCTAAAAACAGCCCGTCATGCCCGGGTCAATCCCTGCGATGGTGCTGGTGTGAGAGCACACACACACACACATACACACACACACGCTAGAAAACCCCCACCTGCACTTCACTCACTCATCAAATCCACTCACTAGTCTCCTATTACACCAGTGTGGGGATATCTCAAAAGCCAGGATGTCTATCGGCTCTTTCCCCATTCGGCCAACGCGGCTGCAGGGTTTGCGATGGGGGCGGAAGATCAGTCCCCTGAGATGAGGGAATAAGCTGGAATCAAGAGGCGGTGGGCTTGGCAGAGGGCTATTTCTAAGTTAAAAGGTTCTTAAACTGCAGAGGAGATCAGAGGAGATGGCTCCCCACGCCCAAAGCTGTCTGCCCAGATAAGCATCCTGCCAAGTGTGGGGTGAAACAGGGTGGTCACGGGTGAATAGACAGTGAGTACGTGTGTTTTCCAGCCACACACATTTTGTGTCAACGAAAGAATGAAGCAGCTGAGACTTCTGCGGAGTATTGAAGCACACTACGCTGACGTAGGGGTAAAACTGTACCAAAAGATGACAGAGTGGTCAGACTCATTCAGTCTTAATTAATTATTGTTTGATCAGACGTCTGAGCGCAAAGGACTTGCATAGCTGCTTATTTTTAGAAAACATTCAAGTGTTGTCAAATGAAATGAGGTTTCGTAGAAAAGAAAGTGACCTATGAATAATGTTCACGTTACATGTCTTTGGTTTAGGTAGCTGGGCTGAAAGCTGCGGCGTGCAGGACGGTGTGGTGGATGGAAGCATGTAGGATGTCTGACATTTAAAACATTGGAACTGATTGACGCCTTTTTCTTTACTTTTCAAACCATACTGTCGCTGTACTATATTTACCTTTACCACAAGAGGAAAGTACCACACCATAGACACGTGCACAGCTGCAGGAATTGCATTCTTTAATCTGCATAGAAAAAATAAATAAATAAAAAAAGGGAGAAATGTTGTAATTTAAGGTTTGCAAAGTCATTCATAGCACAGGAGATGAAAGCGTTAAAATCCATGCTGATATTTTTCAGAAGAGGAATCCTTTTCTGCAACAGACTTTTAAAAGCACTTTTACAGAAAGCCAACGGCACAGCTTCTACACAGGTTTGACCGTCTTCCTTAAAGTGTCTGGAGTGACGTGGAGGACCAGCCGTGGTCTGGAAGCCTGGCAGACTCCACAATGAGTCCGAGGCGGGGCTTCCACCTAATTGAATGGTGACCCTGCCGCCTCGCTGTGGGACGTCCTATGCAATGCTTTTAACAAGCTGCTGTGTCTCCCCTCTTAATAAGCCCAAACAAGTTAATCCAATCGACACACTCAAACCCTTTCTTTTTCTTTTACACGGCACTACCTCTGCCCCCTTAATCCCCGGCTCCCCCTCCTCCGTCACCATGCCGTCACATGAATGGGGGGAGAGTGAAAGGCTCCATTAGGGAGGACTCGCACTAAACCCCCTCAGCTCGGTACTTTCCAGCCATCCGCACTAAATAATTTGCAACCATATTGTAAATTCAAAACACACACACACACACAATGCTCACATGGGCCTGGTATTAAACTGGTCCACTTGGATGTGGCACACAACGAGAGGGTTATGTTCGCCAACCCTGCTGCACACACCAACAACAAAACACACCAACAAAAAAATTCTGAGGGGGACATTTGCCGACAGGCACGCACTCTGGGACATAAAAAAAGGCATTGTTAACAAACCCTCCCAGCTCCACAAACAAGAGCCACTGATTCCCAAACAATACAAGCCCCTGGATGCGCTCACCCACCAGCTCTGCACAACCTCACACCAGCACAATAAATAACCTGCACAACAAAAGGCCATTGTGTGTAAAAGCCTACAGTTTAGGCATTATTGCAATGATATGGAGCGTTGGAATAACATATTGGCAGCGCATTCTTATATATACGATGCAGCATATCACTGTTATTGGAGCTTACACAACCTTGTATGCCGTGCAGTTGTATTTATGAGGGGTCTCTCTGCAGATGAAGGGCATCTTGGCAAACCCACTCGGTTGTTAGCTTTCTATATTCCAGTCAGCTTCAATAGAATCAGCCATGGGATGAAGGGTGAGGAATGTCTGGCAGTCCAATAGCAGCGAGTCGTCTGTCATCTCTAATCAAAACACGCCTGCCTAGACTAATGTCAACTCTGTAATAGCAATGAGGACTAATTGACTTCACAGCCAACTGCTGCATCTTTGTGCTGGGTGAGGTTTCATTAATGGCAAATAACAGCCTCAGACGGCTGTGGGCCTTCATGTCTGTGAGGCAACATTCAAAATGTAGAAAATGGCGATAGCTGAAATCCAGCAAAGTGAGATTAATTTACATTCAAATTCATGTAGATGTGTTACAAATACTGAGGGCTTTTGATGCTCCTGTAAAAGAATTATTATTCTGTATTCAATATAGCATAGTATATTTCCAGCTACCTTAGAGGCATTCAAATAAAATGTTAGCCTTACTGTGGCATGTCCATCAATCACATTGTTTTGTTAGATTATAGTCTCCAGGTGTCAAAGGACGAGGGGCAGGTGAATATCCCCGATGGGTCCAACTCACGTAGTAACAGTAGCATACTCTGCTTCTACGTGAGATTTTAATTTGAAACAGATGCCTCCACATATTTAACCTTTATTGCAAGCAGGCTTGATTATATACTAAAGTGGCTCACCACGCTCTTGAGGAAAGCATCGCAATCACGGGAAAAACAACCAGAGTCTGTAATCTTCTGAAGTACACGGCAGCTTTAGGTTGAGTTCACCGCAAAATAAATAATGCAAGAATTTGTACACTTCTTTACACCTACACTGTAGGCTACATTAAACTGGTATGGAAGATCCCAACATTCATAGTAAAGTAAGCTACAATGTACATGGATATTAAATATTTAATATTTAAGTCATAAAGCTTTATGTGACAAAAGTCTAAATGCACAGTGCATCAGAGGTCTAGACTACTTCATTTGTAGCTTTAAAGAGTGGCACATCATTTCTTGTTTTACCTCAAGTCAGCAGTGAGGACTAAGATGTAAGACACCACTAATAACAAATGACACAACCTTGTATTTCTGATTTTAAAAGCTGTATATCCTGTGCTCCAAATCACCAGTCTGAATCCCACACGCCTGCTGTCCCACGCTAGTAGAATCCCCTTTGTAATAGGAGTTGGTTTGCATCACAGTACAAGCAAGGTGCTCTTACAACATGACGGAGCCTCTCTGCGCCTGCCGGTGCCAGCGAGGGACTTTGAGCAATGACAGCGTGGCTTAAGACTGTCAGACAAACCACAGGGGAAGCACATCCTCTTCTCCTCTTATTGCCTCAGCCTTTGTTGCATTGTTTTGCGAGGCGGCAGCATCGGTTGTCATCTAATACGGCTTTCACGCAGGAACCCTGCGTATGTTGTGACATATTGAATAGATGTGGAGCGCAGCTCTGGCGCTCCCTGAACTGTTGATTGCAGATACACCTGAGGATACACCAAGCGACTGCCGTTGACAAAATACCTCTGTAGAGGACCATTTTCATTTAATTGGAGATACATTTGGCTGTATTAAAAACTAATTCAATATCACGGTGACAAAATGAAAAACACTTCCGCTGCATGATGCAACCCCACCAGGCAGGAATTTCAAACATAAGTCAAAACTAATATCAGCCAAATGTGGGAAAAAAAGCTGTGCTTTCTTGTTTTTCATGCAAGGATTTAGATTTCCCCAGAAAACCTTATTACGTACCGTTTGTGAAGCGTTGTTGATATTGCAAAATTTCTTATCCCAATGTGACACAATCCTTTATTGTCTCAGACAGGTCCATTCACGGCTTAACGAAACAATAAAACAAGGGCTCTTTTTTCCTCGTCTACCCATCTCATGGCGGCTCACTTGAATATTCAAACAGTGTTCATTGTCTTTTTGTTTTGTGTTCATTGTTTGTGGTGCTGTCATTTCTCGGCTTGGCTCCTGAACTTCAAAGAAAGGCTTATTTCAATTTATGATGAAATGGAGTGAGCAGGCGAGAGAAAAGAGGGAGACCGAGAGAGCGGAAACCGTCACGTAAAGTGGCCCTACCTCCAAATGTGCGCTTATTAATCGATGTGCAATAAATCAATGGAATACAATTCAATCCGAACAATGAGATTTCTTCTCTCACTTGCCTGACTCCAAACATCTCTCTCGGCAGAGCCTAAAGGTGACCCCCGTCCCCATGGTCCGAAGGAGGACTCCGCAATCCTCCTCTGGAGGGTGTCATGGATCCAATTGTCGGTCATGCATAGCATTAGTGTGTTGTGAAGCCCACAAGGCAATGGAATAACACACAGTTGAAATGTTCACACTGATCTCATTTGATATATTTGAAGTGTGACAAAACCATTTTTTGCTCGGTTGTATATTACGGACTATAAAAGAGAGGATGACACAAGCGCTCACAGCAGAGCTTCCTGGAAAAATGTTTTCTCCACATTGCCGTTCCTGTCAGCGAGACGCGGGAAGCCTTTCCCTCTGCTCCATAACGTGCGCTATCCAGATGTTGTCGTCCTGCTTCCTCTCAAAGCGGGCCTTGACCACGGCAGCAGAGGGAACCCGATTGGACCGAGTGGGAGGGGAGTCTCCAGTTGGTAATCACCTGCCGGCAAAAAAAAAAAAAAAAGGCACAGCTGGTGCAAACACACCGGCAAGATGTTGTTGTGCAGCCGCAATCCAAGAAGTCTCTCTGATGGGCCGACAGAGCGGCACAGAAACCCGAGAAACTCACAGTGGGCAGCGGACATCGCAGTTAAAGCATTGATCTTGTGTTTTCACAGGCAAGGTCTTGGTGTCACTGCTCAGTGATCGGGGGAAGTGGAAAGAATGGACAGGTTTAGTGATTCAAAATGGTGGACGATTTCCATAACAGCCAACTGATAAGGGTTCCCGTTATCAGTGAGTTTGACCAGCCACGCCGAGAGAACGGAGAAGCGAGGTCATCCCGGAGATAAGAGCATGCGAAGAGACTGATTATCTTTTGCTTTTCATGTATTTTGGACTCATCTGTTAGGCCAAAGTCTTGCTCTCACGTTTTTAAGTCTCAGAAAAACACATCAGGGAGAACAAGGCTGGTTTCAACACGTTCAGAGTCACACCGGAGCTGCCGTAAAGTGTGAGGCGCCTCCCAAAAGGGATTAAAAGAAGATATACACGGAACGTGCGACTGTCACGGAAATCAGGTGCACAGCCTGTTAGCTTTTCTCTCTGAGCCAGATAAAGAATGTTGGACAAAATCATTTAGTTTATTGATGTTGCTGGCGGAGATATTTTCATGGTACTCAAGGCTCCCAACACATCAAACGGACCAGCGTTAAACAATGCCCCGGAGACGTCCCTCTTCCGAAAGACTCCCCAGTAGAAGAGCTCCTTCTGCTTTGTGCACTGCTGCTCGTGCCTTTTGGTTTGTCCTTCACAAGAGACAGGTAACACTGCCAAGACCCAGTAATTAGTGCAGATGGAGACCGTAATACTCTCCTCCCCTCCCTGCAGAAATGCCAAGGGAGGCAATCTATAAATTCCTGCATATTAATGCAATTTAAAAACCACTCCAGACACCTTGCTGGAGGCAGGTGATAAAAAGGTGAACGGCAGACTTTCTGGCACACGGCTGCCGATATGTCGTTGACATCAGTCCCGTCTCAGCAACTTCCTGGCCCGACAACCCTCCATCCACACACCAAAATAACTTAATAATCTATCTCCTCGCTCAGAAAATGCTCTCCAAACCCTGACCCTAGGCCTTACAACTGGGTCTCTATCAATAATTAAATGGTAATCTAAAAACCCATTTTAGTTGGGTCATCTTTCTGCGCCATTGTCCCCGCTTCTCTTCTTCCTCGGTCTATTTTCTCCTCTTTCTGTAAGATCT